TAATATGCAAACATAATGTAAAAATGGTTTTAAAATCAATTCTCTGACATTTTGCGATATTAATATGTTCTGGAGGACATTTCAAAGCACCACGCAGTAACTGCCAAGTTAAGCTTTCGTTTGCGCTTGGTATAGCATCATCGCCTACTTCATCACCTTCGTCATTGCGGCACTGTATTCCCGAAGGCTGCAGGGCCAGTTGTCCGGTACCATTGCTATTTTCACGGAAGACGATATGTGTGTATGATAATCCTTCGAACAGATTCTGTTTTTATAGTAGTCCAACTCGCAATCACCTACGTAAACCACTCAGCACTGACTACATTAGAAGACGTCCAGGGTCGACGCAGAAGTCTAGGATCGATGCAGATCATGCTCTGTTTATATCAAACCCCAACTTCATCGGAGTTTTTAACAGTCTGAAGTTATTGATTAACATCTTGGCCATTTTCTATGACCTTTTTTGCTGTATCAATTTTTCTGTGCGAATTCAATAGGTTTGTAGTTCCCCTAACAACATTCACGTTATGCTATGAGAGGAATCAGCTGGTGATCACTCGCTCGAAATTCGCGTAAATCGCTGGTGTTGTGCCCCTCCCTGTGCGGTATTGGGTTAATCTAATGTATGTGTGTGTCGTAGCCTATTGCTAAATCAGGAGTCCCCGCCGGAATCTAAACTGGTTGTTTTTGGCATAGGAAGAGAAGTCGAGACTTCGACAAGCTTGAGCCAGAGGTCCGCAGGGTGAGTTGGGTGCCTGGCCGGGAACTGTAAGCGAACAGATAATGATAGTCATGCGGAGAAACGCAGCAGTCGGAACAACGGTCGAGTGTGGACGGATCGAACCGGTTTACGTACTGGCGAAGGACCATTACTCAACCACTGCGTATTTTAGCCAGAGTACAGCAAATGGCCCCTAGGAGTTGTTGTTCTGAGGCTGCAAACAGAGTTAAGTAGCTACCCAAAAGGACCGGGGTGGTAACCTCTTTTTCCTCGACAATGGCTCTCTGGTGAAGATGCTGGAAGCCTGTCTTGGAGGCAGAACCATTAACGGGTAGATCCGAGTGAGACGAGGCAACAGCTTCCAAGTGGAGAGCTCGAATAGACGGCCGAACGTTGCGACTGGGCTCAGCAGCGTGGCAACGGTGGTGATAAGGATGACCGAGTTGCGAACAGGTCCACCAGAACGGCTGGTCTAGGGGCGTGTTGTGAGGGGTGAGCGGCAGGACAGAAGTCTCTGCATGAAGATGAAGATGCTCGATAAGCGACATTTTATTGCAATCTGTGATCGTGCGAAGTGCACCGTTCTGTGCTGACTGTAGTTGGCGAAGGCTGGAAGAGCCGATCGTAGGAGGCCAGATTGTTGCCACATAAGTGGGGTGGTGCTTGGCCAGCGCTTTGAACGTGGTCGTCAAATCTCTTTCTCGCAGCCCCAAAATGTGTCCGTTGGCGCCTAGAGGATCTTAGTGCAGTGGCTCAATTTACCGGCGGCCTGTCTGGCATGGTCCGCGAACGTGAAAAGCAGATATAAACGCACACCAAGGAGCTTAGGCTTATAGACGAGTGGTAAGGATGCACCGTTGACGATGATAGCAAAAGGAAGATTGAAGTCCTTCGCGTCCAGCATCCAGCGTCCAGCAGCAGTAACAGCATTTGTAATAGCAGCATTGACACTCGC